CCTCCGACCCAGCAGCGTGGTTCGCAAGGCCTTCATTGACATCCAGCCAGTAAGTTCTATTAATTTTGACATTAGGTATTATTTTCTAGGGATGCACCAACATGAAAATTCTTGGCTGAAACCAAAAACCTAAAATGAGAAAACCAAGGCTGAAAACTGCAGCACTGAAAGAAAAATGGTCAATTAGCATGTCAATAAGCTAAAAGTCAACCATAGCATTTATGGCTACAATGTATTCCAACTTCACTATAATCAAGGCATTGCAATAAAACAAAACTGAAATATTTATTTAGCACTGACATAACAGTGGAAATTTTTTATTGAAATTTTAAATTTTTCACTTGCTTCCATTTATGTGCACATTAAATTATAATAAATTCAAAATTGGTAAAATGAATAAATGAAAGATTTACAGACTTAAAACTGAATGCCAGGAGAAAGACTGTAAATTTAATGAGGGATACGTAACACTGACATCTTGTGGTCAAATCGGAGTGCTGCAGAAAAATTCCCTCCCTGGTTCCTCGTTCGGAATAGAATCATAACAAGACGAGTCAGACACAGTAGTTGATATTGTTAGTAGATAAATACATTTCACTCCAATAGCATCTGTGGTAATTGAAAAAAGCAACTTGAGATATTTTTAGAGTTGACTCTTTCTAATTTACTGTTAGCATTGTTAGCTCTCGTTCGTGCAGGACGCAGCGCCATACGCACTCTGGTAACAGGTGTGTTTATAATTAATTCCTGTAGCCTGTTACTCTGGTCCATGTGTGGTGGCACGGTTTGAATCTCTGTTCAGGCTGGTTTGGTTCAGTATTAATTAAAATGGCAGTGCGATTTCTGATCTACAGGGACTATAAACGCTGAACATCATTTATGCTGCTGCGTCCCATCATGGTACAGCTGGAAAAATCCATTCTATTGCAGTAGAGGGAAAATCTCTATTGTGGATTAAGTTTATATCGCCCATTCCTACTCTAAACCATGCCACACATGGAGCAGAGTTACAGGCTACATGAATTCATTACACTTATGTGAGAGCGCATGGCTCTGCATCTTGTCTGGCACAGAGCGCCACTCCACCTGCACCTGACGCCAAACGCTCGCTGGGTTGTCAGCCAAAGTTTGGAAGTCAGGAAACATGTCTCCAATTGAAGTGGTCAGAATTAAATAAATGTCTTTGAATGATGGTTTTCTGATTTATTTTGCGGAAATCCCAAGTTGCTCTGGCCTGTCAGCTGTTCTGTGTGCAGCACAGGAGCTGCTGACCTCTCCCTGTCTTTCTCTGAGCAGTCAGCTCCCAGTTTGCGAGCTAGACATTAATGCAGCTTTTGTGTTTAGTGAGCAATGAACCATTGAGGACTCAATTGTATGCATTGCTGCAGTGCAAAATATAACATTTGTTTAAACTATTTTAAACTTTGTGTTTCATTAACATAGCTCACTCATTTAAAATAGTCATCTTTATATTACCGGTATGTGAATTTTTGTATTCCAGTTTTTTGGAGTGTTTACATGCATTTTGTGTTTTGCATTTTGTTTGTTTACATTTTACATATCTTTTTAGATTTTGTATTTGATACAAGTAATAATTGAAATAATGCAAATGTTTTTGCTCACAAAAAAATTAAATACACTTTTTGGGATAACAAACAGCAGCCTTTCTGCACAAAACGTATGCCAAAACCATACTGAGACCGTGGTCTAAAAACCGTACTACAGACCGTACTGTGGGCTATCTGTACAGTTGCACCACTATTATTGACAGCCAACTCCAAATATGCTTCCACAACTTGTATGAAACCATTTCTTTTTCATGCCTTAATTTTTTTCCCTTTCTTTCTCTTTTTTTTTCTTCAATTCCCCTTACTTTTAGACTGGAACCAACATGGTGGAGTACCTGACCGGGGCCACAACAGACGACCCACATGTTCTTATGCTTGGTGAAGACCATCGATGTTCCCAAGCATTCGTTATCCTCAATGGGACTGCCATGGAATATCCATCACTTTTGGGTGCAGTTGATGGCTGTTTTAAAACATTTTTTGTGTTAGATGTGAATTACCCAAAACCATGTGCCCAAATTTGGGAGTTCATTCAAACGGTCATCTTTGAAATGCCTGGGCATGAATCAAATGCTGTAAAGCTAATGAGGGCTCAGTTGGCTATGATTTAAAGTTGATGTTTTGCTAGCATGGAGATGAGTTACATGTTTTTGGACATTTACGTAAGTACAGTTCTTCCATTAGCATTGGGTTGAAAATGTTCATGATCTTCAGGTGTCTAATATTTTAATATTTGTCATTAAAACACATTTACACAAATGCAATAAGCAGAGTTTTACAAAAAAAAATGAGCGGGACTATAAATGTTTTTAAATACTCTCTAGTTGTATTAGTATTGTTATGCATTTTAAAAATGAAAAAAAAAAAAACTTATTTGGTCAGTAAAGAATTGACTGAGACATGTTCATTTTGTGTAGTAAGTTATTCATTAAGCATTTTATTTATTTTTTTCCTATAACCCTATATTATAGAATTGGGTCATTTTAACCCAATCTTTAGTTATTAAATAACCCAGAAGTTGGGTTTTCTTTTTAACCCAGTTTTGGGTTACCCTAATTATACAGTTGGGTCATTTTAACCCATTAGTTGGGTAGAAAACATAACCCAATATGCTGGGTCAAACACATAACCCAACCCTGCTTGGTTAATACAACCCAGCGTTGGGTCGGTCCCTTTTTGACCCAGCGCCTGGGTTACAAAATAACCCAAGTTGGGTTATTTTTAACCCAGCAGTTTTAAGTGTGTATATATTTTCAAAATCTCGATTCTGGATAAAATCCAACAACATATGCTTTATAAATAAACACTACACATGGCTTTTACACACACACACACACACACACACACACACACACGTTACATTGTGATTTCTTAGTAAATATTCTATTTGGTGAGAGATAAACTTTATTGTATTTATCCTAGTGAATCTATAATTAAACGGGTAAACTAGCAGTAGTACATCCAACATCAAAGAAAGTAAAATGTTATTATCAGGAGAGGGAGAATGATTAAGTGGTTAGCAGCAGTGTGCTAGATGATGGCCCCCTCCATGAGGCCACCACAGCTCAGCAGAACATCGTTGTAGCTTCTTCTGGGGAGAAAAACACTTAGAGAAAAAATGAAGTTAACAGCTGAAATAGCAGGAAATAATACAGTTAAAGAGCAGATTGTAGAAGAAAGAAACCCCTGGGTTAAACTGGTCTGTCTACTGCATAATGCTGAACTCTAACATGTGTCCTCAGGGAAGGACCTGATTGGTGTCCAGAACCTGCTGAAGAAGCACCAGGCTCTGCAGGCTGAGATCACAGGTCATGAACCTCGCATCAAGGCTGTCACCCAGAAAGGAGAGACCATAATGGAGGAAGGTAGAGCAGGTCTGGTCCTGACATGTTTCTGAGGTGTCTGCAGGTTCTGGCTCACTTTGTTTGGGTCCAGGTCACTTCGCTGGTTCAGAACCCTCGGCCCGTCAGAACATTCTTATCCACCACGTTCTAACACCAGACCTGTTAACCCGACAGCAACAAGTGGCTCCAACTGACGATGAGACCGGGAAGGAGCTGGTTCTGGCTCTGTACGACTACCAGGAGAAGAGTCCTGGAGAGGTCACCATGAAGAAGGGCGACATCCTCACGCTGCTCAACAGCACCAACAAGGTTCGTGTGCCCTTCACAGCCGAGGAACGACCTCCAGCTCAGAGCGAACATCTCCACACCTGCTTTGTGTTTGTGTGACTTTAGGTTGTTTTACTTGAACTCGCGTCTTTAGCTGAATGAGGATGGAGAGACGGGTCGGACCTGGAGCAGGTCGAGGTCTTGCAGAAGAAGTTTGACGACTTCCAGAAGGTCGGACTTTTCCTCCTCTCCGTCTTCCAGCAGCAGCTGTCAGATCAGCTCAGGTGATAATCAGCAGGTGCTTTTGTCCTGCAGGACCTGAAGGCCAACGAGTCCCGCCTGAGGGACATCAACAAGGTGGCATCTGAACTGGAGTCAGAAGGTCTGATGGCTGAGGAGGCTCCTATGGTTCAGGCTCAGGTGAGCGTCACCTGTCTGCAGCAGCTGGTCCCTCTCACTTCCTGGTTTGTTAACTCTGCTCGTCTCTGTTTGTAGCAACAAGAACATCTGGGTTCTGCTCCTGGAAAGGTGCGTGTTGTCCTCCGCCTCCACCAGAACCAGACGTGGTGTTTTTGTTACCACTCATTTGTTTGTTTACAGGATGAAGCCGACTCTAACCCCGGCTTTCCACAGGAGCCGTCAGCAGCACGTTACTGCAGCAGCACGTCATAGCTGCTGATAGGAACCGCTGTGGTCAACAGAACCTTTTCCACTGGAGCCGTCGGCAGCGAGAGTCGGCCGCGTCTCAGGAGCAGCAAGTTGCGGCCCTTACGCGCCGGTTCTATTTTCTACGCGCGACGCCTCTGAAACGGGTCAAGTTCGACATTTTTGGGGAAGGAAAGACAGGAAATCGGACGCGGAAATTGAGAGAAGCTACCGAGATTTTCAGAATAAAGAACGTACTGCCTTCCGGTTGCTTTACTTTTAAAAACAGTTACTAACTGTGCGGCCCCGTGAGAAGTTATCACCTAGCTAGCGGTCTCCTTTGTTTTTCAGGTCCGTATTGGCGATTATAAAATGGACAGAACATAAAACACAAACCATGTTGTAGTTTTCTCCTGCTTGTTGTTGTGTTTACTGACGAAGTCACTCGTGTGACTTCGTGCTCGGTCGGTGACAGCTGCTCCCCTGCTGCTTCGCGTCTCGTGGGAAGGGCCAAGCAGCAGCTTACGCGAGCAAGACGTGCTGCTGCAGTAACGTGCTGCTGACGGCTCCCGTGGAAACCCGGGGTAACACGGCGTCACCCTAGAAGGTGAGTTCATTCAGCTGATCAAAGGTCACCTCTGATGGCCGCAGTCACGGCCGACCGTGCTGACATCACACAGGAATTCAGGTGACCCGGCAGGCACCAGGTGCTGGTGAAAGTGGGGACATGTCAGCTGGTTGCCATGGCTACAGTTATCTTTATGCATCTGTATGACTGCTGACTGGTGTGTGTTTCCTGTGACCTTTGACCTCAGACCGTACGGTTGGGCGTTCAGACGACGGCTAACTTTAATTCCATCAAGGTAAGAGGAAGCTCTTCCCTTCCTGTCTGAGCGATCCGTCTCCAGGTTTCCTTGTCCGGCGTCCAGCCCGCTGGCGTCCACCTTCATCTCACTGGGTTTGGTTTCTCTCCAGGAGCTGAACAACAGCTGGCGCTCGCTGCAACAGCTGGCTGAAGACCGGAGCAACATGCTGGGCAGCGCCCATGAGGTGCAGCGCTTCCACAGGTACCCCGCACACTTATGCGCCGCTTACGGGTCAGTAGAGTTTGGACCCACACTCAGATGGAGTTCTGATGTCTTCTCAGAGACGCTGATGAGACCAAAGAGTGGATCGAGGAGAAGAACCAGGCCCTGAACACAGACAACTACGGCTACCACCTGGCCAGCGTTCAGGCTCTGCAGTGTGAACAGGAAGGCTTTGAGCGTGACCTGGCAGCTCTGGGTGATAAGGTCCGCTTCCTGATTGGTACCAGGACCCGGGTTGTCTCTGGAGACACGTTCTTCATGGTTCTGGTGACTCCACCCCAGCCGTTCCTGATCAGCAATCAGCGGGGTGCTTTCCTATTTAAGGTGGATGGAGGACACAATTTGACGCCAGAAGATTGCCTCAGTTTTGGTAGTAACCAGCCACTCGTGTTACCTCTAGTGTTCCTAGGATTAATGTTATTTCGTAGTGTTTTTGCTCTTATATTGGATTTACCGTTCTTCAGGATTCCTGTCGACCTCATTGGATACTGAACTCTACTCCAGGATTTGGATATTCAACACACGGACCTTATCACCAGCCTCCATAACCCACCTCTCATCTCACCCAGTGCCCCATCCACCAGGACGCCCCGCTTCTCTCCACCTCTGCTCCCTCTCCTGCGCTTCCTCTCTACCTCTCTCTCCTCCAGCCAACACATACACCCACCACAGTAAGTCTGCTGAACACCTCTGCCTGCCTACAATGGATTTTGAAACCAGAACCTATGCTCACCTGTGTTCTCCCTCCTCCAGACGCTGAGCTGTTGTTGCAGTTCCAACCACAGACTTATCTGTGCACCTTAAGTTCCTCCTTATAAATAAATCATTTTTTCCATCAGTTTTTGGTCAGTGTTGTATTCTGCATGTCTTGGGTTAAGTACCTTCCTCCAAACATGACACTCTTCTTCAAAGAGCAAATCTGTTCAGCACATTCTGACAGACAGACCACCATTCTTCTGTCATGATGCTGTACAGGACATTTTTAAGAGTTTTTCTTTTTAAAGATAAATAGGATTACATTTAAATAGCAATACTTTCACATTATCATTTTCCCACACTTCTGTATAACTGTATTTTGTTGTTTTTCAATAAAGAATGACAAATTATTTAAGTTTGGATTTGTTGCACACATATATCTGTAAAAAATATCTACAAAGCTAATGTTTACATAACAAGTATGATTGGGTTTTGCAATACGGCACTATTTTAGTAAGATTTTTAAACCAAGTAAAGTTAGTAAAGAACACATTTCTATTGTCTGCTAAGAAACTGTTGGGATTTAAAATGGGCCTGTTGTACAAATAACTTGTAAATGATTATTCCTCACTTTTGTCTTAACCAAAGAAATTCCAGTAATTGAGCAAAAACATTTATTTTTAACACTAAATTTTATAAAACAGGGCGCAAAGTGTCGGCACATGTATGTATGTCGATGGTCCGCCCCAACCGAACCAGGAGACACAGACGTCAGGGAGGCCAAGGTTGTCTCTGCAGCTCTCTGGGCACCACGCCTCACATAGCTGTCTCCAATGATCCAAATGGCTATGGAGAAAAAATAACAGGTTTGTCATAATTGTTCAAAGTACAAAACCATACATGAAGTGGTGAGACAGGTATGTGGAACTTACACTAGCTGCTTTGTGTAGCTGATGTTGGAGACACACAGGCTGCCATGGTGACATTTAAACAGATCTAAGAAAAAAATGAAAATTAAAAACTCCAAGACCTCATGTCATATTTACTAATCAGCTATGGCTGATTTATTGTTTGGATCACAGTGAGTTACACTAATTCTAATATATTTTTATTTCTATTATACATACATACTTTTTAACTGTTATTTTCACATGACTGTTATCAGGCTCTCTTGTTCTGGTTCTCATGATAATCCCGTGTCTTCCAGTAAGTTATCTTGTGCTTACTTCATCTGTAGAATGTCTCTTTACTTTTGGTAAATTGTACTGAGTCCAGAATAAAGACTAGTTGGCTGTACAAGATACAAACAAGTATTACATTTTGGAAATATATGAAATGTATTTACGCTGCTAATTTAGCTCGAATACTAATAACTGCCATATTTTCCGGACTATAACTCGCACTTTTTTACATATTCTGGCTGGTCCTGCTACTTATACTCCAGAGCGACTTATATAACAAAATATGTAGGCTACACCGCGCTGCTGCGGGCCGACTCCGACCCACACAAGAATGAGTTCCCCTGTCCCGCTGGGAGGGTTTCAAACACCGCCAGCATCTGTTAGAGCCTGTGGCGGGGTGCTGAGGGCCGGCTCCAGCCCAGGAATGAGCTCTCCTCGCCGGCCGGGAGGGTTTGAAACACCGCCATCCTCTCCTCTGCTGGCTGTTGTTCATTCTGTTATGGTTACCGGTGCTTGTGTTGCAATGTGAAACGCTTGGTCTCAGATTTTGTAAGAAAGATAATAAAATGTCCCCCAAAATACGACTTAAATATATTTTCTCTTCTTCATGATACATTTAATGGCTGGTGCGACTCAGGAGTGATAGCGCCGAAAAAAACTGTACTGAAAACTTGCTCAAAGCAAAATGTATTCATTACGGAAATAAATTATAAACTTACCGATTTAAATCTTTTTTAATACAGGTACTTCTCACGAACAGGCGCAGAAAACCTCCACCTAAACTCCGTGTGAGGTTCAGGTCGATGGGTGTTCCAGTTAGCTCCGGTTGGGTTGAAGCTAGGTGGCTACATCCGTTAGCTCGGCTCCCACCTCCGCTTTAGCTTTGGGTTAGCCAGGGTTAGCTTCAGGTTTTTTTTTTTTTTTTTATTATTATTTTTTTTGGGTTAGCTTCAGGTTAGCTCGTAGCTAGTTCGCCTGGGTGTCGTCACTCGAGCCCAGCCTTACAGCCACACCCTCAGCACCTCCTCTCTTCCCTTTTATGGAATTGTCTGGGCTGGACGGAACCTGTGACACGGTCAAAATGGCGGTGGTGGCCACCTGCCATTATAGACAACAAACGTGTTATTGAAGCCAATGGAATCCGTTTGTCCAGCCGTTGTCTGCGTTTGCGTCCTCCTCTCACTCTACGTTTCGACGTTATTACGTCGCTTTGTGACGTCATACTGCCAGCCTATAAATAGGGCTCTAGAACCCGCTTAGTCAGTCAGTCGAGCTAAGGTTAGCTGGAAGGGTGAGTGCATTCGGGTATCTCTTATCAACACTCAGAAATTTCTGTAAATTTACGGCAGAATTCCAACAGTAACATACCGATTTTCCAAATTATGGTGGGATAATGTTAAATCCGATGTTTTTTTTTGTTGAATTATGACAGCCGGAAAATTACGGCCAAAAAATGGTCTAATACAGTATTTCTTTTGAAGCACATTTTTGAAGTTCAGTTCTTGAACAGTCAGCTACGTTGAAGAAGAAGAAAAAGAAGACAATCACTGTTCATCCTCCAACATGAAAGCTTCTAAAAGGTAAGTTTATCACTCTTAAGAATGTAAATTGTGGTTTTGGTTAGTGTTAAGTCAATCTATAGATCACCAGAAACCCACTTGTCAAAGTTTAGCTTACAAAACATGACACGAAATGAAACATCACTTGCACCATAGTAATTTTGGGAGTTTTATGGTGGAAAGTTAAATATTTATTTTTAATGACTGGAATTATAGATTTGTCATGTAGGACCACGTTTTTGTTTTTCAACTTTGTACATTCTTGCTAGCATTAGCATCTGAACTGGAGGCTCTTTATTGCGATATTTCATTAATAACTATTAATGTGCATCCGTGCCACCGCTGGGCTCTCTATCAGGCGTACAGTGGTTGGTGGACATTCTTTTTGGGCCAACAGTACCGACGCTTTTTATGCCGACTTCGGACTGGTCCATAATAGCAGTAAGCTATTAGTGGCCCTATTAACATTTGGACTGTCTCATTTTTCTAACCAAACCGTATTCGCTCTGGTCCTGCATTTTGCAAAAATAATAAAAAGCAGAGGTGGAAAGTAACGAATTAGCAGGGGGGGTACACTTTAGATAATGAGGACAAACAGCCATTTTACCGCAGATTTGCTCAAACATCAGTTCAGTCCCTGTAATCCACTCGCTTTTTACCTACTCTCTCCCTCCTCCTGTGGCTTGGATCCCGCACCTTCGCGCATCGGTGTGACGTCATCAGAATTCTGCTCGGTTCGGTAACCAGACTCGGTTCCGTGTTTGAGATGTGTTTCCCTACCATTCCGCACGGCATCGGCAAAATAACGTTTAGCGCTCATAACAAGCGGATTCTCAGTACTTTGCTAATTAAACAGAAGACCTGCAGGCCTCTGAGTTCAAACATCCTGATACTTTTTCAGGTGTAAACATTGTGCTCCATCCCTGTGTTTGAACTCAAGATGCTCCTTGATGCCACAGATATGTGATGATTTAGCTTGTTTTACTCCAGAATAAGAGATTACATTATTACAAAAGCAGTTCAATGTAGTTAAATTAGTCATTCAGATGATTCTAACATGCTGCTGCTGCTGCTGGTGTGTGTGTGTGTGTGTGTGTGTTAGTTAGTTACACATATAGGACTGCATGAGACAGCATGGTTTCATCAAATCCATGCATCTTATTTCTTGGCTGAAGTAATGGCTCAGGAAAATAACTTATATTTCATGAATAATGACGTCTCTGCAGTGTTTATGATAATGTTTTATCTTATATTGGACCTATCTTTGGTCTGAGAGGTTTCGACGTTATTACGTCGCTTTGTGACGTCATCTTGCCAGCCTATAAATAGGGCTCTAGAACCCGCTTCGTCAGTCAGTCGAGCTAAGGTTAGCTGGAAGGGTGAGTGCATTCGGGTATCTCTTATCAACACTCAGAAATTTCTGTAAATTTACGGCAGAATTCCAACAGTAACATACCGATTTTCCAAATTACGGTGGGATAATGTTAAATCTGATGTTTTTTTGTTGAATTATGACAGCCGGAAAATCACGGCCAAAAAACTGTCTAATACAGTATTTCTTTTGAAGCACATTTTTGAAGTTCTGTTCTTGAACAGTCAGCAGTCAGCTACGTTGAAGAAGAAAAAGAAGACAATCACTGTTCATCCTCCAACTTGAAAGCTTCTAAAAGGTAAGTTTATCACTCTTAAGAATGTAAATTGTGGTTTTGGTTAGTGTTAAGTCAATCTATAGATCACCAGAAACCCACTTGTCAAAGTTTAGCTTACAAAACATGACACGAAATGAAACATCACTTGCACCATAGTAATTTTGGGAGTTTTATGGTGGAAAGTTAAATATTTATTTTTAATGACTGGAATTATAGATTTGTCATGTAGGACCACGTTTTTGTTTTTCATCTTTGTACATTCATGCTAGCGTTAGCATCTGAACTGGAGGCTCTTTATTGCGATATTTCATTAATAACTATTAATGTGCATCCGTGCCACCGCTGGGCTCTCTATCAGGCGTACAGTGGTTGGTGGACATTCTTTTTGGGCCAACAGTACCGACGCTTTTTATGCCGACTTCGGACTGGTCCATAATAGCAGTAAGCTATTAGTGGCCCTATTAACATTTGGACTGTCTCATTTTTCTAACCAAACCGTATTCGCTCTGGTCCTGCATTTTGCAAAAATAATAAAAAGCAGAGGTGGAAAGTAACGAATTAGCAGGGGGGGTACACTTTAGATAATGAGGACAAACAGCCATTTTACCGCAGTTTTGCTCAAACATCAGTTCAGTCCCTGTGATCCACTCGCTCTTTACCTCCTCTCTCCCTCCTCTCCTGTGGGTTGGATCCCGCACCTTCGCGCATCGGTGTGACGTCATCAGAATTCTGCTCGGTTCGGTAACCAGACTCGGTTCCGTGTTTGAGATGTGTTTCCCTACCGTTCCGCACGGCAGCGGCAAAATAACGTTTAGCGCTCATAACAAGCGGATTCTCAGTACTTTGCTAATTAAACAGAAGACCTGCAGGCCTCTGTGAGTTAAAACATCCTGATGCTGTTTCAGGTGTAAACATTGTGCTCCATCCCTGTGTTTGAACTCAAGATGCCCCTTGATGCCACAGATATGTGATGATTTAGCTTGTTTTACTCCAGAATAAGAGATTACATAATTACAAAAGCAGTTCAATGTAGTTAAATTAGTCATTCAGATGATTCTAGTGAGTGAGTGTGTGTGTGTGTGTGTGTGTGTGTGTTTGTGTGTGTGTGTGTGTTAGTTACACATATAGGACTGCATGAGACAGCATGGTTTCATCAAATCCATGCATCTTATTTCTTGGCTGAAGTAATGGCTCAGGAAAATAACTCATATTTCATAAATAATGATGTCTCTGCAGTGTTTATGATCATGTTTTATCTTATATTGGACCTATCTTTGGTCTGGGAGGTGTAACATATCATGATGCAAGCCTTTTAAAAAATGTTAAAGTGTTACAAGAGGAGATAAATGCATGAATTTAAAGTTCATGTTTGGAGACCAACCTTCACAGTTTGGAGGCTCACGCTGGTGTGGAGACACCATTAGTTCTAGTAACACCTGGGCTCCCAAGGTCTATTCTGACAGGATGGACGTTACGGGACCCTTAAGGATTCCAGTTGGATGATTGGAGGATTATTTAGGAGGATTGGAAGGAGCAAAGTGATTTCAGTGGTGAAGGGTTAAAGGTATTGGCTTGGCATTAAAATTGTAGATATGCAAAATAACTACACTTTACCATCTATATAAACATGTACTGGGTTCAGTTTTTTATTTTGTTAATGACTTTTGTCATAAATCATGACAGAAAATCCAAATCCTCTCCTCCAGACATTGAAGAACTGTGTTTCGCATACGTCATTCCAGCACGTAAAACAAGGTAGCTGCTGATGCTAGTATTGTGAATCACCGTTATTTGTTTACTTTCATGCTCCTAATTATTACGTAAAATTGCGTTTACAGCTGCAGCAAAAGGTCTGAGCCATGTGTCTGTGTCCTACATGCATTTTAAATAACAGGTCTGATCTAAAATAATAAACTACATCTATAAATCCATCTAGAACCGCACCGCTACTTCTGGACTCCAGACGAGTCCCGTTAGCATGACTGCAGCAAAACTGCTAACCGTGTTAGCTCTGGTAAGGAAAGAACAAGTTCTTTGGGAAAGCTACGACACACACACACACACACACACACACACACACACACACACACACACACACACACACACACACACACACACACACACACACACACACACACACAGATATAATCTAAAAGATGATCTCTATATTTCAACATTAGAACCTCCGTGACATCCTGGATTAGTGCAAACAACGAATTGAGCTAAGGAGTTACTCCAGCATCAGGAAGATTTATTCTGGTAAATTGTTGGTTAAATATTTTCCAGAGTTATATCAATAAATACACACAGCAGTAAAACTGTAGATTACTGAAATATATTGGGACACGTGATGGAACTAAGACCAGCTGAGAACTTGTCAGCTTAGAGCTCCCAGTGGAGCACAGAAATGACATATTAAAGAAAAGTAAACAAACTGTACCAATTTTGGTTCTGAAGATGAACAGAATCCTCCTATGTCCAAATCGGGTCGCAGGTCTTCTGAGTCAAACGGTCTAAAACATGTCTGCACCTCTGGTAGTGATATCCAGCCGGCGGGGTCTGAGTTCGGTTGAACTCCGGTAATCCAATATTCGTCCTTGTCACCGTATCCCAGAGAAAAAACATATCTGACCGACTAGTAGAGGCTTCAGAAGCTACATCTGATTGATGACACATTGTTCTCTGCTATAATGCTAACGCAGAAACAGCGGAGTCAGGCATTTACTACAGCGGTTTCAGCAGAGCTCCTTGTGAAAC